TATCTATTAAATACTAGCTCATAATACATAAAGTATTCTCAGATAGACTGATGAACAGTCCTTAGATTTAATAAACAATTAACTTTTGTCACTGGTGCAGACTTCAGATCAGGGTCATGGATCAGAGGCGGCCATTTTGGTGCTGAACCTGGTCACAGCTGAGGTCAGCCCGTCCCACCGGCTCAGGTCGGCCCAGGCAGAGACCGAATGTCCACAATGAATCAGCTCAGCATCAACCTCTCGTGGTAACTTTGTTTATTCTTTTTCCTCTTTGCCTGCATCTGAGCCGGCGGCGGGTCGACCTGCAGACTGAAGCCTGAGTTGCCCACCTGATCTCCCCGGTTCACCTGAAAGCTCAGCCCCACCTCTCCTCCCTCTGAGCCGTCCTCATCCTCTTCTTCATCATCATCATCGTCATAGTCGCCGGTCTGCCCCGCCCCATCCTCGCCGTCCTCGTCTGTGAACACAGAGACGAGTTTAAGAGCATTCACAGGGAGGTTTTCCTGACGAGCACTAAACCCTGTGTCCCACCTTCGTCTTCGGCCTCAGAGTCTGGAGCCTCGTTGTCCTCCTGGTCGAAGCCGTCCAGGTAGGTGACCTGAGGCAGCAGCTCGAACACGCTCTCCCTGTAATCCTCCAGAGACGTGATCTCACAGTTAAACAAGTCCAGACTCTGGAGACTCTTCAGGTTTTGCTGCAGCAGGAAACATCATGTTAGCAACTAAAAACTCTGTGTCTCTGTGCATGTGTCTGTGCGTGTCTCTGTGTCTCTGTGCGTGTGTCTGTGCGTGTCTCTGTCTCTCTGTGCGTGTCTCTGTCAAAATTGCTCCAAAATGACGTTCAAATATTCGCTCTAAAAAAACACATTCGAATATCTGCGCATGCGCATCACGTCAATAACAGGAGGACAAACTAATACAACGAGACATAACTACTCGTATAGGTATTTTTATTTCAGATTTAACATAAAACATATCTACACATTACAAAATCAGTAAATGAACTAACCGTAAAACTTAGACTTTAAAAAAGACAGCTCTCTCGCTCGCCCCCCTCTCTCTCGCCCCCCTCTCTCTCTATGCGTGATGTGCATACTGATTTAAATAAACAGTTTGTTAATAACGGTCAGTAATAACCATAGACTGTAAAGGTAATGACGGGTCTGTGGCTGACGTGAGCTGAAGGTAGTGGGAGTGTGTGATGCGAGTTTAGGAGTGTGTGTGTGTCTGTGTGTGT